TCAGAACTGGTCGCTACGAAAGCTGGGCGCTGTTTACGATAGTCGGGCGGCTTTCAGCGCCGTGGAATTTCCCATTAATTACATCCCAAACGCCGGCCGCTCTTCACAAAGGCCGGCCGGTTTCCGGCCGCGTAGGATTTTGCCCACAAAACAAACGCCGGCCGGTTTCAACGAAAGCCGGCCGGTATCCAGCGCCGTAGATTTATTCCAAAATTAAATTACAAAAGCCGGGCGGCTTTATCGAAGCTCGGACGACTTTTGCGACCAACCTCCTTCCCACAAGGACTCATCACCGTATGCCGGCCGGGTTGCACACATGCCGGCCGACGTTCAGCGCCGTAGAATTTTTTAATTAATTCAAAGACAAGGGCCGGGCGGCTTCCGTCAACGTCGGGCGGCGTGCGCCCAGGGCTGGTATACTTCCCTCCTTTTTGATCCACAACAGGCTCGGTTGGTCGGGGTTATAAAATTAGACACTCCCAAGACTTCTATTGTTTACATAAGAATTAATATTAAGAGTTTATGAAAGATTACCTTCAATAGGGTTGGGTTTCTTCCCGAGCATCTACCGATGCAATTGGATTGACCGAATCTTGAGTTTCTCCCTCGATCACGAAGGATGACTTGCCTTTCATAACCCCTCCATCTCCCGTGCTTGGATGAGATGTTCTTGCTTGGCTTTTGCCTCCCGAGGTTCCACCATCAACCCTTGTGGCTTGTTTTCGCCCGAGTTGGGGGCATGCTACCTTCATATGCCCCACCTCCCCACATTGGTAACATTTAGGAGGATCCCAACACCTACCCATGTGGTTTTTCTTGCAGTTTCTGCATCTAGGTTTCGCCGAGGCTCGTGACCCTGAGTTTTGCCCGAGTTGTGGGCACGTTACCTTCATATGTCCCACCTCCCAGTATGGGTAACCTTTTGGGGATTCATAATTTTCCTCAACGTAGTTTTTCTTCTCCATTACCCTTCCATGTATTCGTTGAGGGCAATGGAACTTAATGTGTCCGTTATCCTTACAAAGATAACATCTTCTTGGTTCGAGGCACTCTCCAAAGTGATACTTGTTGCAATTGTCGCATTGCCGGACCCTAGAGCCCTGAGGCCTCACTTCTTGACCTTTAAAGCTATTATTCCACTTTGGTGGTGGTGCAGGTCCCCTGAAGGTTTTGTCACCCTCAGTATTTCTTCTCTTAGAATGCCCTTGGGGGTCATTGTTCCTCCGCATCCTTTTCCTTCCCATCGGTCCCCTTTTTTCTTGCCTTTCTTGGCGTTTCTGTAAAAGCCTCACACGTTCACGTTGAAGCAAATCTATGATTATGTCCATTTGTTCTATAGACTTGTTGCCCAAGCCATCATCGTTGTAGTCATTGCTTTCCCCACTCGAAACCTCGAGTGGTTCAGTTTCACCTTGAAAAGGCGACTCCTCCCTGGTCTCAACATAATGATCACCCACAATTTGAGCACCTTGAGTATCTTGACCTCTTGGTACTAAAGACTCTTCTAGGTTGGCATGCCCGGTTCCACCCGGTGCAACCCATTCCGAGTCCATCCTATTCAAAATGCTTCCACCTCCCATTTCTGAAAGAAATGTTTAGAATGAGTCGTTAGACTCGTATCAATTGTCAATTGACAGATAGGTACTTAAGACATCTCATGGGTCAAGTCACCGCCATACCAATTGTTAAGAGCGCCATCTTAACAATTAGAGACATTGCAACTCGAATACCAAAAGTCCTTTAAGTACAAAATTTCTTATGCTCATGGTTTTCAAATTCATTTTTAAAACGAAATTTTGAAGCTTCATTATGAAGTTTACGGACTAAGTCTCTGATACCAACTTAATTGTCACGCCCCGGACCTACCCGGACACGTCAACAATCCGCCGTACAGTATGAATAGTCAACCGCAGTCTAACACATCCATACTATACAAGGCGTCTGGAATATCATTCACACATAGTACATCCATAAACAAACATAATGTAAAATATTCATTAAAGCAGCGGAAACAATATTACAAGTGTTCAAGCCACACTTGGCAAACTTGGGCATACAAGCCCTCAATAATTTATTAGAAAACATTATCCATGAGCATCATTGTAATTGTTTTGAAAACAGAACGGAGGAAGCACGAACCACGTCTTCTCTCCAAGAACTCCCGAAGCAACGGGTACAGGAAGCAAGCTCTAGCTTCTACCTGAAAACTGTGAGGTGGCCTCCCCCGTGAAGGGGAGGTCAGTACTTTGAAGCATTTGAAAAGTACAATGACAACTATACTGCATATAATTAATGTTTCAATCCTTAAGACCCTCAACATAGGTGTTATCATAATACTAGGAAATAACCCATAGTTACCCCTTTCAAATCATACATAAGTATATATCGTCAAATAGTCGGCCCATAGGCCCATTTGTATTTTGTCAAAACCCTTTTGCATCGCCATGCGATATTTTATTTCCCCGTTTGTATTTAATAATAGGGATAAGGGTCAGATAGGGTCTCGAACTCGAAAAAAAATGTCAAATAAGGTCATATTTCGGATGCTCTGTCTGGCCGACGCCATTTGGGGCGGTTCCCGATGGAATTTTTTGATGAAATTTTTTGAGCATCTTCCTCATTAAGTCTAGTTTACCCATACCAAATTTCAGCTAAAAACTCAACCGGGAAGGTAGTCAAATGAATTTTTGAAGATAACTGTGAAGTTAAACAACGCCGTACATTTCGGAAAATTATTTGACTACCTTCCCGGTTGAATTTTTAGCTAAAATTTGGTATGGTTAAACTAGACTTAATGAGGAAGATGCTCAAAAAATTTCATCAAAAAATTCCATCGGGAACCGCCCCAAATGGCGTCGGCCAGACAGGGCATCCGAAATATGACCTTATTTGACATTTTTTTTCGAGTTCGAGGCCCTATCTGACCCTTATCCCTTAATAATACAATTCAAATCGCTCTGTGATAATTCAAAATATAATCTGTATCGCCCTGCGATAATCTAAAAATACAATTTGTATCGCCCTGCGATAATTCAAAAAAATACAATTTGTATCGCCCTGCGATAATTTAAAAATACAATTTGCATCGCCCTGCGATAATTCAAAAAATACAATTTGTATCGCCCTGCGATAATTTAAAAATACAATTTGTATCGCCCTGCGATAATTCGTATTGCCCTGCAATAATTCATACAGGACCTGTCACCGCTATCCAAGTCTCCATGGAGCACTCGGTCGGAGTCCAGCATCCTGCCCCTGGACTCATACCCTGTTCCCATAGGAAGGTAAGGCCCATTCGGGGTCCTATCTTATGTGTTACCGCTGTCAAAGCCTCGCAAGGTCTTTGATTCGGATTCCACCCTTATACGTGATCACGCTGTAAGTCCATGCTATCCATCTCGCTCTCTAGAGCCAAGTAGGGCCATGGTCCTTACATCTATCCTATTGTGGGCCCATGCAGTCCGGCACGATCCTCAGACTCGTCCGACCCATGACCCTCATCTATCTATATTAGCAAGTTCATGGGGTCGGGCATCTATCCTTAGACTAGAGCCGAGCCATGACCCTTGCTACCAATCAAACAACCAATTACGGGTATCCTAAAGACCACCCGGATAATAATATCAACAATCCAATCCTAGGATAATTATATCATTTAAATCATCTAAGGCTATCCCAATTGAATACCCTAGTGACGAGGCATCACAATCCTAAACTTAGGATTAATTTATAAATGTTCATATTATAACCTCGGACTAGTCATTTAGTATCACCCGAGTTATTCTTAGTTCAAATTCTCTTTCCCTTTTAAACAAACGTGGCGGCCATGCCATAACTCATTCTCACTCCATTCTATATTGACTTTACTAACCATAAAATCACTATAATTAAATAGTGATTAATAAAAACATTTTATTAGTTCATCACTAAATCAACTAGAACAACTTCTCAAACATATCAAGAAATCATGCTCCAATTTCTCATACCCCAATCAATCATGCATCAACTCTTCATATACAACAATATGATCAATTGACACTTTACTTGGCATATTAGTTAATTATAATCATGCTTTTATAACATTAGGTAATCTCATGAATTAACCCACTAGTTATAAACAATATAGTCAGCCATCCTCACCTTATGATGTGCTCAACTAGTTGCCTTTGCTAAGCCCTTCGATCAATCCCCGTTCTAGGCCAATTGAAAGTGAAAATTCTGGACAGCAGACAAAAGGTGGGCGGCTTTTGCAAAAGGTGGGCGGCTTTCGGGCCTGCAGCTCGAAAACAGTCTCCAACAATGGCGGTTTCCGGCGATTTCAACTCCTATCGATTCCACGACTCTTCTAAGTTAATTACCACCACTTTATATCAATATAATACACTTTTAAACGTGTAGAACTCATGGTTTAATCCACTATATGATTCATTAAAAATCATACAAAATAATACTAGTTAAATGAACTATTTGAGTTCTTACCTTGAATCCTTGCTATTTTCTCTTGGATTCCTATCTTCCTTTTTCCTCCAAGGTTGCTGGTTTTGAGAGCTCTTCCTAGACTCCCTTATCTGTCTATTCTCTTCGTATGGTGCAAATGAAAGGGAGAAAAATCTTCCTACCAACTAGCTCTTAATAATAGGGAGAGTAGGGCCTTTAGGATGTGTGCATATGCCTTCTCTCACACCTCTCACCCATATGTCCGCACATAGCATTTTAGTTTGTCTCCAATACATTATTTAGAGACCACAAGTCATGTAGGAAGATCCCCAAGTGGGTGTAGGAAGTCCATCTCAATTATTATTGCTATTTTTGGCAGGTTGGATCAAAATAGCACTTGGGTTGTCCAAACATTTTCCTCAACTTTAGTTGGCATTTTATTGGGCTTCTAAAATTATTACGATGACCCAACTAAATATTTGGGAGTCCATTCCCATTATTTGGGACCCGATAAATAGTTCAATTAATCATGCATTAATTAAATGTACCACTCAGCTACACAAATTTTATTCGCTAGGAAATTCAAATACATATCAAATTTCAAATTCAAGTACATCCGGATGCGGTGTCACAAATGTAGTAGTAATAATTTTTGTTCGTCATACTAGAATTGTGATTGAAGATACTCAATAACTTTGGTGTCGACGTGAAATGCTTTAGTGAGAACATCTGAATCGATGGGTGGATTAGATCCAAAAATGGCATTGCCTATCGTAATAACTCCTGGATTTTGGCTACTTAAGCCAGATAAGGAGACAGCATTTGACTTCCCGATGTTATGCTGGAAATGAATAAGGCCTTGTGGAAACACAAAAACGTCTCCAGGGTATAACGTCTTAGTAAAGAGCTTATTCTTCATTCCCGGTTGAGGATTTGAAAGGACGAATCCAACGTATAGAGTACCCTCCAAGAGTACGAGTACTTCTGATGCTCTAGGGTGGGTGTGCGGAGGAACAACCCCATTGGGAGCAAAATCAATACGAGCTAGTGAAATGCCGAGAGTGTTCAACCCGGGCAGGGTATCCACCGTCACAGCTGAAACTGCAGATCTAAGCTGATTTGATGTATTTCCGGGTTTGTTAAGGCCCGCTGAGAGAAAAAAGTCCCTTGCATTGACATCTGTTGGATTCTTGCTGGTCTTTCCATTGACAAACACTACCGTAGAAAACAAAAAGTCAGTTTTTAAATGTATACACATATAAAGGAATAACGGTCAAGAAAAAGCAACAAAACACTTTCTTGAATGCAAAAAAAAAAAAAAAACGATCTCTTATACATGTACGTAGCATTACTTTAGAATAGTTTTAAAAATATAATCTGTAAACAAATCATTAGGGTTACGTTTTTCAAATTATTTTCAAGTGACAATTTCTGCTTAAATTAAACACTTAAAAACTAAAAGCTAGAATCTGCTTTTTACTTTTTTTCAATGACACAAAAAAGCACATATTTTACCAAACACTACCAACTTTTACTTTTTAAAATCAATTTTTTCTCAAACATTATCTACTTAACTATTAAGCACTTTTTCCAAAATGATTTTAAAAAGTGATATTTTTAAAGCAAAAACAATGGTAAACACTCCCCTAAATTGAATTGTGTTGACCCATATATATTCCCAAAAGAAATTGTGTTGGCCGATAAAAACTGCACATCAATTTGTGGCATTAGTGAGTGGCTACATTCTACACGCATGTTATATCATTACAGAAACATCAATACATCAAAGTCCAAAGTAACACTAATTAATGAAATTGAATTGGGTATATGTCTATATGAGATAAATATATACCACCAGCCTTGGAATCATTAATTGCAACACAAAAGTCTTGTAATTGACTGGGATCAGATGCACTGGCAAAAGAAGCTATAGTAATTAATAGCCAAAATAGCAAAGATAATGAAGAACCGAAAAGCCATTCTCTTAAGTGGAATGAAAGGCGTGTGAGGATTATATAGTTAAAAGTTGTTGAACAATTGATGAGAGAACAAGAGGGAGGGGAGTATATTTATAGTCTTTACTATCAATTATTATATTGTAAATTGTAATGCATACTCCTTCAAGACTAGACTTGTTCAATTTCCTTGTTAAATTAAGATCAAGTCTATGGGTATGTTTTCTTATTATAAATATTTAAATATATTTTACCCAACAACTACACCATAGACTGGACTTTCAATTGCCTGCTTGATATCAAGTCTAGCTACTAGCTCTGAACCTTCTTTTCTCTATACGCGTTGGGGGGTTTAGGGGAATAAGGATGTTTTTACTTGGACTGTAATTTGCCCCAGACCAGACCAGACCAGACCAGACCAGACTTGGATAGTTATAAAAATACAAAGAAACCAGACCAGACCAGTTCAGACCAGACCAGACCAGCAAATTACAGTCCAAGTAAAAACATCCTAAATCAAACTGATCAAAGCCATTCTATGGTTAATTAAAAGGTCTTTCATGTCGATCTCTAAATATATACATAGTATATAATGAGTGTTTATGATTTGCTTCTACTTTAACTAATTAATTCCAGATATTATATATTTATATATATGAAAAGTATTTAATAGCAAAAGATAATACTATTTGATAAAAAATGATTTTGAAAAGTAAAAATTAGTATTTGGTATATACTAAAAACGAAACATTTGAAAGCAGTCAAAGCACTCATCCAAATACTTCCTCTTTTTTATTTTGAAGTAGTTGATTTAATTAACTCTTGTTTGAAAACATTAACTTTTTGTAAGTTAACATTTGAAAAGACTTTTCTTAAGAATTGCAAAGTTCTTCCTAAACAATTCTAGAAATTAGGAATTATTTTATTTGTCCACAATATTTTAAAGCAAACGTAATGTCACCTTTTTGTTAATCATAAACAACAGAGAATATGAAAAAATAACACAAATTACAAAAATAGGCTTGGTATTTCAAAACTCACCAAAGTTAAAATATTAAAAGGGAAATTGTGAAAATATGTTTTAGAAGATCTCAAAGAGTAAAAGTATTAAAATAACGCAAAATTGTCAAAGTTTATATATTTTCTTTTTAAAATTTTTAATTTATCAAAATGTTGTACTTCCTCCGTTCTTAAATAAGTGCAACACTTTCCATTCTGGGCAGTTTCATTATAAATGCAACACTTCTATATTTGGTAAGAAAAAATAATCACAATGACTATACTACCCCAACACTTCTTTTGTACGCTTAATAAGTCAACCCATCACCTCAAATTAAATCTCCACCCACCCACGATATATCCACCATCCATTTTTCCACTGCGCCTAATAAGCCTTTAAATCTATGAACTAAACCAGGTGCTCTATTAGACAGAGATGAGCGAACAAGAAGCCATGAGGAAGAAGCCATGTATGAAAGAGAGCTAAATAGGAAATGGAGCACTGCTTGTTTTATTTATTCCCTTTGAAAACCCTCTAACTCTCATTTCTTGTCCACATACGGACCCCTTTTTCTTCTTCCATGCATCTGGGCATTCATCTTCTTTTCCATCTCTGTTATTTTCTTCTCACGATTTTATAGGTCAATTCAAGAATTTGGATGTTGATGAGCTGAATCGGCACACAAATTAAGAATCTCCAGCTTCGAAGGAGTTTTAACATTTGTTGAACCAATATAGTGGCCAATAATACGATTCAGGATATTAAAACTAAATATCTGTAGTTCAAATGATGTTAAACAAATTCAGGAGAGCTGAATCGAAACTAAAATATTGAAATTAAGCAACGATTATTTGGTCTTTCCGGAGTAGAAGCTAAACCAGCAGAGAGAAGAAAAGTTGGGAAGTGAAAGAGATAACTATGTCAGATATGCCTGCTAAAAGCAAGGGCGAATTCGGAAAAAAAGATGTTCGTATAGGTTTCTTAAATCTTGTGCCCACATGCTAGGTTGCATTTATAACCGAACGGAGGATAGTATATATGTAGGTAATTAGACACTATAAATAATGAAAATCTAATCAATGAAGTTCCTCTTCTTTTTGTTTTGTTTTGAACATAGCCAATAAGATTTTTCTTAAGGTAGTTTCTTGTTTTTCAAGTGTTTTACTTGTCTGTTCTACAGTTCTACTCCGTACTATTTTAAGATTTTTAGAATATTCAAACAGATCAAAACTTATGCACAGATTTGGTTATTTTTTTCTATTTTGAAAATTTTAAAAGCTCTTTAATGAGATATTTTCTAAAGGCTTAGGAGATGTCACTCTCTCTCTCCCCCCCCCCCCCCCCCTCATCGCCCAGTAACCAAGATCGGCCCATAAAGGTTTAAAATTCCTTGAGTTTAAAAAATGCTTCTCCAAATAAAAGAAGGGTAGTTCCCGAGATTAGAGTCCAAAAACGATGACTTAGGATAATACCTGGCTTTAAGAACACGACACATCAGGCTGCCATCATCACTGGTAAGCTTCCATCCTTGCTTTGCTAACATTGCTATGTTAAATTCTCTAATTCTCCTGAACCCCAGACCGCCCGCCTCCCGCGGTCGACTCAGTTTCTCCCAACTCCGCCATCGTAAACCTTTTTTATCTAACTTCGTGCCTCTCCACCAAAAGCCATTCATCAACTTCTCAATTTTACTACAAAGCTCTTCGGGTAATAAAAAAACATTCATAGCATAGGATGGCATAGCCTGGACCACATTCTTCAATAAAACTGCCCTCCCTGTTCTTGACAGAGACCTGATATTCCAGCTCTTTATTCTGCTATAAATTCTGTCCCGAATATAGCCTAAAATAGCAGACTTATTTCTTCCTGCAAGAGCTGGTAAACCGAGATACTTACCTTGCTCCACCCCCGCCCGAATTTCCAAAGTAGCACGGCATTGCACCCTCTCGGCCTCCACGGTATTGGAGCTGAAAGCAACCGATGACTTGTCAAAATTAACCACCTGCCCCGGTAACTCCCTATACTTGGATAAGATACTTTTAACTTTGCTGCATTCATTCTGATTAGCCCTGAAAAATAAAAAGCTGTCATCCGCAAAAAATAGATGACTGACAATAGGAGCCCCTTTGCAGACCGCCACCCGATGAATTTCACCTCCCGCCACCGCCCTGTTAAGCATAGAGCTCAAACCTTCTGCAACTAATATAAATAAGTAAGGAGATAGAGGATCTCCTTGTCTCAACCCCCTCCCTGGAACAATCGGCCCCAGATGATCCCTGTCCATCTGAACAAAATAATTAACCGAGGATACACACGCCATGATCACCTCAACCCATTTCGGATCAAAGTTCATTCGAAGCATGACATGTCTCAAAAAATTCCAGCTCACTCTGTCGTAAGCCTTGCTCATGTCAAGTTTCAAAGCCGCAACCCCTCCTTTCCCTTCTGTTTTCCTTTTAAAAAAATGTTGTGTTTCAAAAGCAACAACAATCTTGTCAACAATAGATCTGCCTGGAATAAAAGCACTCTGGCTATCCCCTATAAGAGAACCCAGGATGCCCTTCATTCTATTGGCCAGAACTTTTGAGAAGATTTTGTAAACAACATTACACAGGGCAATCGGCCTCCAATCTCCCAACACTACTTCTGGCTTATCGTTCTTAGGAATTAAAACAATATTTGTATTTAATTCCGTAGGAATAACCCCTGTCTCAAACAATGTTTCGCACAGATGGACCACCTCCGGTCCCACAACATCCCAATATTTCTGAAATAAAGCCAAAAAGAGTTATACTCCAGATCAGTGCCGCTTAAATATTTGTGCGATAATGATTTATAGGTTTTCTCCAAAGAATTACAACTTTTTTGTTCAAATCGTTGATTTCTAATTTCTGTACTAATCATTATAAAGCGCATAAACTTTTAGAGCCTGTTTGGTAGTACAAAAATCGGCTGTTTTGACTTATTCTGCTAAAATTTATGAAATTCTGGCTGAAGTGGCTGCATTGGCTGATTCTGCTGTTTTTAGAAAAAAATATTTTTAAAATATATTCTATTAATAAAATAAAGAAAAAATTATATGTAAAATAGCTAAAATGGTCATCTACAGTAACTTCAGCCAATACATCCAGAAAAGTAACTCCAACCTTACTTTTTTGGCTTATTACACAATTTAGCGCGCGAAAGCAAAAGTTACGTGTTTGGTGAAAAAGTTGGCTGATAAGCCGAAAAACAGTGTTGCCAAACGGTCTCTTAGTGTCATTATTTCACTTCAATTTTCCTCATTTTTGAAGAACATGTTTTTATTTAGACTATTTTTAGTCCCGGATAAACGGATCAAATCAGACTTAAACAGATCAGACCATATTCAGATAGTTATAAAAAGCACAGGGACCTGACATTTACCAGACCATACTCAAATAGAATAGACCAGACTTACACAAACTAAACTAGGTCAGACCAGACCACAAAATTTCAGTCCAATTAAAAACATCCTCATTAGTCATTAGTCCCATTACACATGTCACAATTCAGCTGAAGTACATTATTCTTTGTTATCAACTTTGTAGATGGTTTTGTGTTAATATATTAAGCTTTGTTTACACCTAATCTGGACTTGCAGAATCTAGGCAACTGGCAACAGATTGTAAAGATGCATTTCTTCTTTAAATTATTTCCTCTTGAATGATTTGTAATGTATTCCATACTCAAACAATAGAGTACAATACTTTTTTGTAATACCACCAAATGGCTGAAAGAATGCATAAATTTACCTCATAACTCACTACAAAAAAACTTCGATTTAGGCAAGGTTTTTGGCTGGGAAATATTCCCAACCAACTTTGGTGCGGCGGTAGGCGCGGAATAGGGCTGAAAATGCCTGAGATGCGCAATTGGCAGGGAAAGTCTGAGCCAAACGTTTGCGTCGGTTTATTCCGAGCCAAATTCCCAGACAACTCCGAGTATTTATAGCCGGCAGCCAATTAAATGGGATTGGAGGACATTTTGGCTCAATTCCCTTCCGTTCCAACGTTGTGCGAGCCAACATCCGAGCCAATTCTGTTGGATGATTGCTATACTGGTGCGTATGCTTGGACTGATCCCTGCCAACGATCGAGCCAAGATTTTTCCGTGCCAAATGCCTTGCCATTAAGTTACCGTTGCCTACATTAATTGCCTGCACCAAAGTACACTGAAAAGGTTTTCAGTAGTGTTTATTTTCCTTGCCGATTTCCCTGCCAAATAAAATAATAAATAACTAATGTTTTGTTGGAATTTTACATCTGCCTTCATTACACATACTCATCCCTGCACCCAAACTCTTCTGATAAAATGCTGAATTCTTCTGAGATGATGGAAGTTTTATGGAATTATTATGGTGGGATTTCTTAGAAATTTATTATCTACGCATCATAAGGTATGTAATTCTCTATTTAGTGTCTTTCAATAAAGCAATTGTTTATCTGCATGTTTAATTATGATTATTATATCTTGTTTTATGTTATATCAATTGTATGCTAGTAATAGGTTTAAATAGGACTAAACACTTCTCTAAATACAAACACGAATATGTTATTTATCTTCCAAAAATACGACTAAAGTATACCATATTTTAGTGGAGTATAAAATCAAATTCTTCTAATTTAGGATGTTTTCTTTTGGACTGTTTTCAGTCCCAGATCAGACCAGACCAGACCAGACCAGACCAGACCAGACTTCCGTAGTTTTAAAATACACAGAGACCGGACGTTTACCAGACCAGACCAGACCAGTTCAGACCAGACCAGACCAGCAAATTTCAGTCCAAAAGAAAACATCCTTAAATTTTTAATAGAAAAAATAATAGTAAAAACCATAAAATAATAAAAATTAAAATAAATTACAATATGTACGAAAAATAGATAACACATATTTAAAATATAAAAAAACATGGAGGCCGCTAACTCCTTTTTTTATTAAATTTTAATAAAAAAGTATTAATAAATTCAGAATTATTTATTTTTATTGATTTTATTTAATATGGAGGCCTCTCACTTACTGTTTTTAAAAATATAAAAACTTCTAATTCTTTTACAAAAAAAATTCTAATTTTTAATTTTTATTAATTTTATTTGACTTTTTTTCGTTTGTTTTAATTTGTTTACATTTCATTATAAATAAATTTATGTTATTACTTTTTTATTTTACGGAGTAATTATTAATGAAATATGAAATGTATTGAAACAAATTAAGGATAGAATTAATTTGCGAAGTAGTTAATTGCAATTTTAATGAATAAATATTCATTTATGTTTTTCTAATATTCAGGCACAATGTATAAAGAAAGTAGAAGTTGGATGTATAATCGTTATGTTGACATTGGTAGAGGATTGACACAAGAGTTTAAGGATGGAGTTAATGAATTTGTTACATTTGCACTGGGACAACATCAGTACATGGATGGAAGTAAAATAAGGTGCCCATGTATGGAATGTAAAAATAGAAAATTTGTAGAAAGTGATGAAGTTTATTGGCATTTATATACACATGGTTTTATAGACAACTATTACAATTGGATTTCCCAAGGTGAGCCGTTGGAGTCGTATTTTGTGCCGCAAACTGTAGGAATGTCTCGTTATGTTCCGGAGGAGATGTCTACTTGGGGCAATTATGAAGACATGTCATGGGATCAAAGAATGGTTTATGATTTGGTAGGTCCTTCTACTTTTCAGAATAATAATCCGAATAATGATTTTGTGGGACAAAATCATTATGATGAGGGAATGAACTCATATGGTTATGATGTTGATACATTAGGCAAGAGATTTCAAGATGTGCTTAAAAGTGCAGATCAACCTTTGTATTCTGATTGTGAAGGTCACTCACAATTGTCAGCGGTTTCTGAATTATTGAATATCAAATCAGAATATAACCTTTCAGAAAACTGCATGTCTAGAATATTAGATTCGGTTGGTAGCATGTCACTGTTGGAAAAATGTGTGAAAAATTGCATTAAATGGCTATTTTGGGGCAATTTTTTGAGTGGGGTCCACTTCCGATTTGGGTCGGGTCAAAGTGGTTTCGGATTGTCCTTGTTAAGGGCTACAATTCGATATATGGTACGCTCAAAACGGATAACGGGTGAATGAGAAATCGCTTTTCGAAGTTTACCCGTTAGAATGGAAAAACTGGGAAAAAGGATGGGTTTCTAGTGTTAATTTCCCACACCGGAAAACCCAAGGGATTTGCAACCCTTTATAAAGGGACTCCCCCCTTAAGGAGTTAAGATTCCTTAGGGTAGAGGCTCTCTCCACGCGCGCAGGGGGGGGGGGGGTGCAAATCAAATCCCGAATTCGGAGAAGAAAAACCGCGACTTGCGTGCGCGGGCGACCTGCGGACACGAATGTCGTCCAAAAAGCCATCTCTCAAGAGATACGGGTAATTTTTGTTTTCTTCCCGAAACATATATTTTCCCAGTTAGCAGAATTGCTCCGGGCAGAAGGCCACGACCAGAGGTGCTCCGGTTCTGATGACCGCGCATCAGAACTGCTCCAGTTCTGATGGCCCTCGAGCAGAGGTGCTCCGGTTCTGATGACCGCGCATCAGAACTGCTCCAGTTCTGATGACCTTCGGGCAGAACTACGTAGGGGTCTTCTGATGGTTTCTGAACCGTTACAGCAATAAATGCCCAACGTTTATATCTTTTAATGCAGCGTTAAATGGACAGTTCATGGACGATTCAATGCCCAACGGACTGGTCATTGATGTCCAACGTTCAGGTCCATTAATTCACTATTTTCATACAACAAATCCTCCTATATAAAGGCTGGCAGGTGGTTTGCAACAACACACGTTCTTACACGCATTCTTGCACTCCATACACGTTTTAGCTCTAAAAACACACTGCTAGCACTCTGAAAATTCCTTCTGTGTTCAGTCTTTGTTCTCGTTCGTTGGAACTCTTGTTTGTGTGCTCAAACATTAGTTCGTTGTCATCGTATCCTGGGAAACTATTGTTGCAACGCTCCTAGCACCGTGGGAGGCAACAAATACGTTTTAAGGACATCGTGCGTAGCACGAGCTTTGACAAATTTCTGCTCCATCTCATTTCTGTTTTCTTTTGTCATTTTATTTAATTAATTTCTTTTAATTAATTTTCTTTATTTTCCGAAACACACCCAACAGTCACCACGCGATCATTGTCTCCCTGATACTTACTACAACATGAAAAAATTTGTCTCGGAATTGGGTCTTCCTATGATTAAAATCCACGCATGCCCCCGAGGATGCATGCTTTTTTGGAAGAACGATGAGACATTGACCCATTGTAAGTTTTGTAATGCGGAAAGGTACAAGCCTATATCTGTTACACATCACAAACCGAGAAAAAGATCTGCAGTTTCTAAGTTGACATATCTCCCTTTAGCTCCACGCTTGCAAAGGTTGTATGCCTCAAGTGCTACGGCTAAACACATGACGTGGCATCTCGAGCATGACACTGAAGATGAGTTAATGTGTCACCCATCAGATTCTCAAGCGTGGAAGCATCTTGACCAGTGCCACCCTTAATTTGCCATAGAACCACGCAATGTTCGACTTGGATTATGTGCAGATGGTTTTGCTCCGTACGGTAAATTTGGAAGTCAGTTCTCTTGTTGGCCAATTATCATCACACCGTATAATTTCCCACCGGACATGTGTATGAAATATCATTTCATGTTTTTTACCTTAATGTGTCCAGGACCGGATAATCCAAAGAAAAGGCTTGATGTGTATTTGCAGCCATTGGTGGAAGAGCTGAAGCATTTATGGGATGTGGGTGTTCCTACGTATGATGTTTCAAGAGATCAAATATTTAATTTGAAAGCTGCAATTTTGTGGACAATTAGTGACTTCCCGGCATATGGGATGCTTTCTGGATGGAGCACTGCAGGTCTCATGGGATGTCCTGTCTGTATGGAGAAGTCAAATGCATTTTGGCTCAAGAATAGCCGCAAACCATCTTGCTTTGATTGTCACCGTCGATCTCTCCCACCGAACCATTCATATAGAAAGGATAAAAAGTCATTTATCAAGGGTCGCATTGAGCGTGATCCTCCGCCTCCGAGGTTATCAGGATATGAGATTTATAATCGCGTTCGAAACATCCCTTCTGCCATGGATGAACCACTCGAGTACCCTGAGGGGTATTTGACTCATCATAAATGGACAAAAAAAAGTATTTTTTGGGAATTGCCATATTGGAAAGATCTTCTCATAAGGCATAATTTGGATGTAATGCATATTGAAAAAAATGTTTTCGATAACATTTTTAACACGGTCATGAATTTCAAGGGAAAAACCAAAGATGGTTTATCATCAAGAAAGGATGTAGCTCTATATTGTGACAGACCGGAAATTGCTATGGGCCCCGAGTATGAAGGCCCCTTCAAGAAAGCAATTTACCAAGTCACAGATGAACAAAAAAAGAGAATTTTGGAGTGGCTCACAAAGTTGCGGTTTCCTGATGGATACACATCCAACTTGAGACGCTGTGTTGATTTAGAGAACTTGTTGATGAAGAGCATGAAAAGTCATGATTGCCATGTAATTATGCAGCGCCTCCTTCCAGTGGCTCTACAGGAATTTCTCCCGGAGAGTGTATGGAATTGTATTACTGACGTGAGCCAATTGTTTCAGTTAATATGTTCACCTGTACTCAATCAAAAGGCACTTCTGGACCTTCACCGCAATGTCTCCACTATAATGTGTAATTTGGAAAAAATATTTCCACCATCTTTTTTTGATGGAATGGAGCACTTAATACTCCATCTTCCATATGAAGCTATCAAGGGAGGTCCACCATTTTATAGATGGATGTACAGCTTTGAGAGGTAATGAATTATATTCAAAAGTGTAATAATCAATACATAGTATTACTATATTGCAATTATTTTTTATTGACAGGTTTCTACACGAGTTGACAAAAAAGTGACAAATAAAGCACATGTGGGAGCTTCTATATGTCAAGCATACCTCACAGAAAAGGTTTCAACATTTTCTTCTTTCTATTTTGAAAGAGATGTCATGACTAGGAGAAAGAGGCCTGCTCGAAATGACGATATTGATGAGGCATCATATGAGCAAATGGTTTCAACCTTCAATTATCTTGGGAGAGGTTATGGGAGAAACACACATCGTTATATTGTTGGAGATGAGTTCCGAATTGCGCACACCTACATTTTAATGAATTGTCCGGAGGTTATTCCGTTTTATAAGTAAGTTAATCATTAAACATTTTATTCTTTATACCACTCATACATATCATTAATTACTTTCACATGTTAAAATTTGTAGTGACTTTAGAGAAGATCTTGTTGGTTATTCAAATGAAGAGATTGATTTGATGATAGACACTAATTTTGCATCATGGTTCAGGAACACGGTACACAAAATTATTCTACAATATTGTGGTCAGTTGTGTGAACTACCCATTAACATATTAAATATCTCGATTTGTTGTCATATGCAGATCCTCAACAAAGCTAAATATTCGACTGTTGATCCCTTTTTGGAATCATTAGCATGGGGTCCTGAAACATTGGTCAAATGTTGGTCTATATATTTTGTCAACGGTTACAAATATCATACCCGTGCCTATGGAAACAATAAACCCACAATAAATAGCGGAGTGTCTGTCCCGACTTGCAGTTATGATAACTCAGAGACAATTTTTTTTGGATATCTAGATGAGATATTGGAGATGAAATTGCCTGGTCAAAAGGAGTTATCGATTGTGCTTTTTCGATGTACTTGGGTAGATCCTGTGAGGGGGGTGAAAAAGAATCACAAACATAGCTTACTTGATGTAAATCATGCACGGGTATATCAGAAAAATGAGCCATTCATTTTAGCTCAACAAGCAGCCCAAGTGTATTATGCTGATTATCCGACGACACGTCAAACAAGTTCTCCATGGGTTTGCGCATGCACAATTAGACCAAGAAAAATTGTTTCTCATGCGCAACATAAAAACGTTGATATTGATGTTTATCAACAAGAATTTTTTGAGCCCCCCATTCCTGACACCATGAACGGGAACATTTTTTTAGAAGATTCTACTGGTGCAGAAATAGACCTTGACCTTAATGACGCCAATGATGGTCCAGATGGAATTCAGTACGAAGAAGAGTGGAACTTTCTCACAGATGACACAGATGAAGAAGATTATGTTGACAATGAGGAATCTGAAGACGTAGATGAATAATTTGTATATCTGTTTTTCCTATTACATTTTATCTGCACTCAATGTACTTTTATTAAAACATTATTGTATTAAGATGTTTTTACTCCAACTAAATTGTATTATAATAATAGTAAGATAATAATAATACTGTTATTATAATAATATTAATATTAATAATAATATAATATTATTAATTATATTATTACTACATTTTTATAATAATATTTTTATTAATATAATAATAAAATTGATAAATCATATAATAATAATAATGATTATTATAATTATAATTATAGAAATATTCATAATTATATGGATATTATTATTATTACTACTACTATTATTGTTATACGAAGTAATTATAATTATAATAATATTTTTATTAATATAATAATAAAATTGATAAATCATATAATAATAATAATAATAATAATAATAATAATAATAATAATAATAATAATAATAATAATAATAATAATAATAATAATAATAATAATAATAATAATAATAATAATAATAATAATAATAATAATAATAATAATAATATCCATATTGATAATTATAATTATAATTATAATTATAGAAATATTCTTAATTATATGGATATTATTATTATTATTATTATTATTATTATTATTATTATTATTATTATTACTATTACTATTACTACTACTACTACTACTACTACTACTACTACTACTATTGTTATACGGAGTAATTGTAATTATATTTATAGAAATATTCAAATCAGATCAAATCAGAAAGATTCAGATTAGATCAGAAAAATTCAGATCAGATCAGAACTTTAAAATTTTAGATTAAAAACATTCAGATCAGGTGAAGAGAACAACTTGTTATTCGTAATACTATACATTACTAGCTCCGAATTCAATACAACATTCTAAAAAATAATGTTAAGAATTTTCCAAGCCGAATGATTTTTCCATTATACAAATACCAAATTCGTAATACTTGTATATTTTTTTTGGACAAAGAGTTGCAATTGTAAAATTAGAAGTTGACAAATTGTCTCATAGATTTGGCTCGGTTTAAATCCTAGCGTAATCTGACCCAATCCAATAATTAAATACGGGAATAGTAAGTTGGAACGGAATTGGCTGCGTCCGGGCCGAGACAAGCATGTGTTGGCCGTCAGATCTGACAACCTAGGTAATTGTTGTTTTTGGATCGAATAAATCCGACCCAAAGCCCCCCCAAAGTTACTGTGACCGTTCGATCTGACACCTTGGTAAATGGTGATATTGGGTCGGATAATTCCTTGCTAAATCGGAGACAACACCGAAAAATCAAATGGCGGTGGATTAGGATGGATCCTAAAATGCCTTTCCAAATCCGTCCCAAAGTCTAAAATACTTAAAGTGTTCGTACTTGGACAATTCGCCTGTTATTGTTGCCCTAGCAGAGACATGGCATCCGTCCTCAACCAGTGAGATAGCCAGCGACGGTTCCAACAACACGCCTCGTCTCCAACATCTCCGGCCAGCATCTGTAGCATCTACTTTGCCGCACAGGTTTCATTACTCTCGTATTTTCTTAAATTGTGTGTATATATATTTATGAATGTTTTACTCTCAAAACAAAATTATGAATGTTGAGTAACAATGTTTGCTTCTTCGTGGTCATGGTCGATTCGTATTTTCTCTTCATTGCATCTGTAGTCATTTTTTTTCTCCATCTTTGTTTGTACTTAAAAGCTCCAAACTTTGATATAAATTTTTTTAAATATTTCAAAATTGTCGTCATTATTTGTATGAAAATGTTTTTCGACTGTTTGTAGTTTATCTCGTTTTGTAATATCTGTTCGTCTGAAATATTTTTAAATTAAGTTAACTTTGGCGATTTTTATCTTCTCTGCGGAATAGTTTCTCTCTTATTTTTGCAAAGTGTCTCGATTGGAACTAATATTTATGTTGTGTACCATCCCTGTTAGTACCCAATTTTGATAAGATTTTGATGATGCCACTATACTTTGCACCCGTACATTGTGTCTAAATTAAATTCAAGTATTAGCACTCAAATTATTCAAATGTGACAAAATAAATGTACAATTTTTGAGACTAATGAAATAGTACCGGAAAAAGTAAAAATGCAATAAGGTACTTTTTGTTTACCTTAAACGGATATTTAGATCCAACCGGCACATATCATTTGGCTCAAAGATTAAATAAATGTCACATTTTAAAGATGCTCGAAAAATCATATACATCAAAGGTGTATGATTGGAAGACAAAACTTGACCAGCATTAAAAACTTAAACAGGTACATGGTCCTACAGCATGGGACGTCCTTTTGGAGTAAAGCTGCAGCGGCTGAAGACAAACCCATGCCGCGGCCCAATTATTCAAGACAGAAAACAAAAGGATTTAAAGCTCCTGCACAAGAAGACGAATGTACAATTCGTCCCAGCCAGACCCTCAACGCACAAGATTAATCCATCTCAACCAACGGATGAGATTAATCAACCATGAAGGCCTATAAATATAGGTAGAAGCATGAGTTCAAAAACAAGCTTGAGCATCCTAAGTAGAGAAATACTTTCATCAAAGCATATACGAGCTATCTAGCAAAAGAGAAAGTGCAAACTCAACTTTACTCTCTGCTTAGCCTCATGCTTCACTAAGCTCCTAGATTAGATCAACACTTTCACATTTTTAGAGCTTAGTTCATAGTTGGAGGTTAGAACTTTCTTGTAACATTTTACAAGTGGTTGTAAACACTTAGGAGAACAGTTGTTCAGATCCTAAAGTGTAGTTAGATAGATAGAGTACCTTTTGATCCCCACTAGATCAATCGAGAAAAGTCAAAGGACTGAGTAACTTTGAGTGGTGTAATACTCATTGTGAAAAACCATCAATCTAGGCCTAAGTGTTGTAAAGGCCAGATTGTCACCAAGTGTATTAAGCTGAATACTTTAGTGGAAATCCATTTGAAAGAGAATGGGACTGGACGTAGGAGGATTACACCACCTCTGAACCAGGATACATCGTGTGTTGATTTTACTTCATTCAACAAAACACACACCCAGCACCTCTCGTATAAAGATTGTAGTTTGCCAGCAGCATCTTAAGCAGTTGTCTTAATTGACCCAACTGCTTATTCTTCTGCTTAATTACTCACTCTCTTTGAGACTATCTTCACACAGTTCACTTGCCAAAGCATTATCAAATAGGTTGTTCTATCAGTCACCGGAAATTCACTTTCAAAATATAGCAGGTGCCTCAGCAGTCTCCTCAGTACCACCCAACTGCTGAGCTCCCTGCTCACATACATATATTTCCTTTAAAAACAACTCAACATCACCAGATCCTCATAACATCATCAACATGAAGTTTTGCTCAAAAGGATCTCTGAAAGTTTGCTCATAACCTAAGCAGGTGGCTCAGCAGTTCCCTTAGTACCACTCAACTGCCAAGACCACTGCTCCAGTTAAACTTCACCTTAACCTTACTTAAGTACTTTTTCAGACATCTTTCTTGTGTGCTAAACAACGTTTCACCATCACTTTCATCATAAAGTCAATATTTCTCTAGCAGTTACCTCAGCAGTTTCCTGCTACCTAGCCAACTGCTAAGCTAACTGTCAAGCCAACTACTAGCTATCTAAGTCCAATCTTCCCAAAATTAGAAAGTGGTCAAACACTCATTACATAAAGGGTAAAGACTTCCGCTGTGCATCTATTAATCTCTCAAAAGATTATAGATCAATTCATCTAGAGGGAAAAACTTCAAAAAGTTGAAAAAGATTTAAAAGTCTATTCACCCCCCCTCTAGACTTTTACCCTATCTGGGACCATCAAGTGGTATCAGAGCGGAGTGTTCCTAGAGTCAGTTTCTGACTAATTTGAACTAAAGATCCAAACCACTCTACCTCCCAAACACTTTCTAAAAATGGACAGTCAGTTAGCCAAGAATCTTCTGTTCAACTTGAACAAATTTGATGACTGGAAAATACGGATGAGAGCACATCTCAGTGCCTTACATGATGAGATGCTTGAAGTAATTACTGATGGACCTATCAAAATAATGAAGATCATCACATCCAGAACCACAGAAGGGACAGATGATGTGTACATTCCAAAACCCAAAATGGAATGGACAACTGAGGACAGGAAGAGAAACAATCTTGACAACATTGCCAAGGACATTCTCTTCAAATCTGTTGATGAATCTATATTTCCCAGAATCAGGAAATGCGAAACTGCCAAAGATGTCTGGGATGAGCTAACAAAGATTGGAGCAGGGGATGAACAGGAGAAGGACAATAAACTGACCATAGCCCTCAAAAAATTTGAGGATTTCAAAATGCTGTCATCTGAATCTATCCATGAGATGGAATCCAGATTCCTGAAGATTGTGGCAGAGGTCTCTGACCTTGGGAAAGAACTTTCTCAAAAGGAAATTTCCCTTAAAATCTTGAGAGGCCTGCCATCAAAATGGGACATGAAGGTAACTGCTATGAGAGATAGCAGAGATCTCAGAACTCTGTCAACTGACAAACTCTTCAGTGATCTCAAGGCCTATGAATTTGAAATGAAGGAGATCAAAGAAGAGAAGGATGATGAATACAAGACACTAGCTCTAGTGTCTGAGCCAAGCACTTCAAAAGATTCATGAAAAAGGAGGGAACTGCTCCAAAGAAAGCATACAACCTGCCACCTAGAAGACAAGGGAGACCTCAATCCAATGAGGAAACTGTTCTGCGCTACAACTGTAGACAGCCAGGACATTACAAAAATGAATGCCCTCTGCCCTTAGCCCAGAAGCATCAAGGGCAGCAGGGGACTGGTCCCAAAGCTAGTTACAAGAGGGACTTCAAAAGCAAAAGACAAGCATTTGTTAGTGAAAAGAAAAAGGAGTAACCCCAATCTGAAGATGAAAGCAGCTCAAGTGATGAAAGCTCTTCATCTGAAAGCTCAGAGGAAGCACTTCTATGCCTGGGATCCTGGCAGGTGGCTGAAAAAGGCGGCAGCTGGCTCACTGGAGAAAGCAGCAGATGGCTCGGTGAAGATGATGAATGCAGCTCCCCTAAATGCCTAATGGCCAAAGACCACTACAATGATGTTGAGGTAACATCCTGCTCTTCTTATAGCTCTAGTGATTCTGGACCAACCAATATTAC